GCAGGGAAACGGAGAAAGCCAAAATCAAGCTGGGTTATTGAACTGGTCACTGCTTTGCCAACAGGAACTCGTGTCCCACTGGGACCCTCTGAGGAGTGGGCAGAACACACCTCAAGGTCTGCCCACGGCAATGCCCTCACACTGCCAGGCTGGGCAGGCCTGAGTGTAAGCGGGTCCCTGCAGGCATCCTACACTGTGACTCCAGAGGGACTGGGGCAGAAAGCGAGAGCTGTGTGGGACAGCTGAGATGGGGGATGGTCCCGTTATTCCTGCAGGAGCTGGCAAAGGTAGGTGAAGAGGATACAAGGCAGAGTCCAATACGGGTGGCCTCCTGGCAGGAGAGAATGGAGCCTGGCACAAAGCTAGGGCTAGGGTCTTCTACTAGGGTCTCGATGGACACTCACGGTGGCCGGGCGCTCATAGCTCACGAGCTCACAGTCTGTTCTCTTGGCTGGGGTCCCACCTCAGCTCACTCTGGCCCCTCAGACCCCTCCAGGCTCAGCCGTGCCTCCATCCAGCCCTGGGGATGAGTTGCTCTCACCTCAGCACTGGCCCCGGCAGTGCTGAGACAGGCCCACCAGTCCCAGCTCAGCCACCTTCCCCGTGCCCTGTGGAGGACACAGGAATTTCTGGACCCTTCCAGGCCTCCGGGAGTGGAGGGAGGCTTGAGAGAAGACACCCACTCCGACCTTCTTGCCATCAAATCTGTAGCTCCACCATTTTTACCCAGCAGGGCCACCTGAGGGCCACAGGCTGCCTTGGGGGCCGTCTTCCAGTGCAGAGGGGGACACACGCCCCCTCTACCTTCAGCTTTCAGTTTCTTTCCCTTCAAGATTTCATCCCAGAGGATGATACCAGGACACGCGTCTGAGAGACGCACCCTCTCCTGTTTCCACCACTCACCAGTTGAGGCTGGGCTTTCCTCCCTCCCCCTCCATCCTCCCTTCTCCTTGAGATGGCTTCACCCACCCCACCCTGCCCCAGTCATCCTGGTGGAGGGGCTTCAGAGGAATACGATTTCAGGGCTTAGCAGATGACAATGCTATCGGTTTAATATTTTTCAAAGTATTAACGTCATCATATTCACTCAGCAAACAGTTACGGAGCACGTCCTGTGTGCACAGTTCCAAGCAGCGACCAAGGCAGAGGCCCTGTGCTCACAGAGCTAAGCCTCTAATGGAGGAGTCGATAATAAATGAGGAAAATTACAGAAGAAACAAGGCAAGAAGCGGGGCTTGGCTAAGGGGTGCTCTGTTGGTTGTAGCAGTTGGAAGAGGTCTCCCCAAAGGGAGATAGTGGAGCAGCAACAGGTCATTCCCCTTTCCTGGTAATCAGAGGGTGGGTTTTAAAACTGTATATGTATATGTATGTACATATATATATATATATATATATATATATATATATATATGTCAGAACTGGGGCGCAGAGACCTTGAGGTCTAGGTCAAAACGTCCACTCCCCTGCCTCTGCAGCAGCAGCCCGGACAGTATGTGAGAGTCATGTACTGGGACTTGGGGCCTCGGTGCCATCCAAGCCTCCCCTATGTAGGGGCTCCAGTGCCCACTGCTCACACACTCACCAGGAGGGGATACCTGCCTGGACATGGGGAGGGTTGTTCCTTGGAGCTACATTGTGGCAGTGACCCGGGTCCAGAGACTCCATCTGGGCAGGGGGGCCAAGAGGCACCCTCCCCCTGCCCCGGTTCAGTGTCCTCCGTGCCAAGTGACAGAGAACAGGCAGCTCTTGAAAAGACTAATATTTGCTCTTCAAATGGGAGCTGGCACAGGCTGTTTCCTGCAACTGGCGTCTGGCTCACCCGGTGGGATGGACACAACAGGAGGCACTCCGGGAGACAGGCAGATGTCCCCGCGGACACCAGCATCCCGGACAAGACGATGTCTTTGAGATGGGGACAGCATGTTCCAAGGTCCCATCTGATTCATCTCACATCTGCTTGCGTACCTTCATGGCGGAGTGCTCACGACCTCTCCAAGCGCTGTTGGACAGCTCTGTGAGAAAGTACATCCTCATTCTGGCCCTGTGTTCCTTGTTTATGGCCCTTGCTCTCATCCCTGCGGCCTCAGAAAATGTGCCTGGAACCACCCCTCAGGGCAGTCATGGTCCTGGTCACCTTCACGCCTCCCAGCCCCAGGCCCCTCCTGCTTCACTTCTGCGGGCTCACACTGCTGGCTCCGTGGCCAGAACAGGCTATTTCTGGGGTGGGAGGAAAACCTTGCCTTGGGTGCACCTCTGTCCCCCAGCAGCTGTGTGCTTTTTGTCCACATGAGAGTCTTTCAGCTGAGTGCCTCATGTGGGAGAGTCTCCGTCAGGAAACTACTGGTCAGACGGCCTGAATCTGAGAAGGAGAGAGTCCCGGTGGCCAGAGTCAGCTCCCACCCGCCTGCATTCCCTCTCTGGAGCCCCCTCCTCCCTGCTTTCTCCCCTCTGCCCCTGCCCCCCTGGGTCCCAGAAACCCTCTCTGCCCATTACAGCCCCTGCACTCTGCTCGAGTTCCCCCCACCCCGGTCACCCACTGAAGCTCTGGAGGCCGAAACACCCTGGCAGCTCGTGGGGCTTTGGAGGCCCCCAGGGGCAGGCCCTGTCGGCCTCGTCAAGTCCAGTCAGGGCTGGGCACCCTGGGAAAGCTCTCCAGGGGCAACACGGGCCCCCTGGTTCTCCCAGGGCTCTCAGACCTGACTGCTGACTTTAGCCAGCCCTCCTTTTTTAAAAGAAAATTCCTTATTATCTGTGTATGTAACTCGCAAACTCCTGGCCCCTTGTAGGCAACCATGCAAATGAATTTGACATGTATCTTTTGGAGTACATTCTTAGGAAATATTAGATCATTTTGTGCACATGTTTCTAATCGTATAATATTACTTTTCACTCAGTTCTATGTTATTTTTTTTTTTTTTTTTTTTTTTTCTATGTTTTGAAGATGCATCCATGTGACTACATCTAAATCTGGGACTTCTGCCTCCTGCCTGCTGCTCCATGGTGAGCCTACACACTTTATCTGTCCACGGTAGACACACAGATTGCTTTCTGCCAACACACATAATGCTTCAGTAAACATTTCTCTTCATACGTGACCCCTTAAGGATCTGTGTAAGAATTTCCCGGGGACATAGAACCAGAAGTGAAGTTTCCACATCATAAGGTGTGTGCACACTAAATTTCAGTAGGCAGCTGTATTAGTTTGCCAGGGCCACCAGAACAAAGTGCCACAGGCTGGGGGATGAAAGAACAGAAATTTATTTTCTCACATTTCTGAAGGCTAGCAGTTGGAGATCAAGGTGTCAGTGGGGCTGGTTTCTTCTTGGCTTGCAGACGGCCCCCTTCTCCCGGTACTTTCCCATGGTCTCCCCTCCGTATGGGTCTGTGTCCTAATCTCTTCTTATAAGACAGCAGTCATATTGGATTTGGGCCCACCCACATGACCTCTTATTTTTTTAACCTTAATTACCTCTTTAAAGACCCTATCTCCAAATACAGTCACGTTTTGAGGTACCGGGGGTTAGGACTTCGACATATGAATCTGGGGAGAACACAGTTCAGCTCATAACAGTAGCACTGCTCTTCATGTCTGCTGTACACAAGTCCTAGATCCCCATACTCGCTCCAATACTTGGTCCCATCCAGGTTTCTAAATTTTGCCAAACTCACAGGCGTAAGGTGGTGTCTTATGGTTACTTTGATATGTATTTCTCTGTATTTCTAATGATTTTAAACATCTTCATACGCTTACTAGCTTTCTGGGTTTTCTCTCCTGCAGATTGCTCGTTTTTCTGTTGAAGCTGCTCGTCTTTCTTGCTGATTTAAGGAATTGCTTGTATATTAATCCCTTACTGGTTTCAGACATTGTAAATATCTTCTCTCATTCTTTTGACGTTGCCCGTGAAATCCTTATTTGTATGTCATCAGATTCATCAGTCATTTTGCCTTAAGGGTCGTGCCTATGACGTTTCGTTTAAGAGGTACTTTTTCACCCCAGGTCACAGATACTCTCCGTCGTGCTCTTCAGCGAACTTAATAGTTTCTGCCCTGCACATTCGATCCGGGGGATGTGTTAGAGCTGACTCAGCAGAGCCAGGCGCACTCAGGTGGGCCCCTTCTCTCTGAGCCCCTTCACTCCTCCGCTGGCACTGCCCAAGGATGCTGGGCAGCTGTCAGGCATCACTTCTGCTACCTGACCCCACAGGGGGTTAGAGTCCAAGAAAAAGGAAGGCAATTCATCGGCCTGAATTGGCACCCAGCCTTCCTGGCACAGAAAGGGCATCCTTCATGGGCCAAGATCCCTTTTTATTCTTTGTGGGTGCTGCCAAGTGTGCTGATGGCACCTTGGTCTCAGCCCAGAGGACAGAGCTCTGGGCTACACTGTCGTTGGCTACCTAGGACAGACCTCAACTTCCTCACCTGAGCAACGAGGCGGGTGAACCCAGTGGTATCTAAAGGGTCTGCCAACGCCCGAATCCCAGAACTCAGTGCCGTCAGGAGAGGCTGGTGCATTTGTTTCCTTTCTGGGAATTTCATCAGCTGCTAAAGGAACCATCCTGCAAAACAGCACAGTCCCCTGGGCTGGGAACCTGATGATGTGCCCCCTGGTGGCCATTTCCTGACAGAGCTCGTCCTGGGAAATGAAAACGACATCACCCTCAGAGTACATACAGACTGGAGCTCAGAGCCCAGAGCAGGGAAAGGGCTGGGCAGGAGCAGAGCCGGCATGGAAGGCAGCCCCCTCCAGCCCCCAGGGCAGTGCGGCAATTGCTATTTTGGTTTTTCCAAGGTCTTTCCTGGACCCATGATTGCATTCCAGAGTCTGGGGATTAGGGCTGAAGACTATTTGAGCCCTTGCACCTGTCTAGACCTCACTGGACAAGAGGACCTGAATTTCACTTCTCTCAACACACCCCCCTCCATTATGCCAGGCCCACATCACCTCATCTAGGAAAATGGACCCATAACTCAGGATTTTTCACACAAATACAAACACACAAGTTGATGAGCACCTTAGATTTACTCTTCTCCCACTTCTGAAGCCACCTCATTTGATTTATATATACATAGTATATAAACGCCTATACGACATTTGTTACCAACATTGACACAAGTTTAGGCTTTACTACTGTGTGAAAGTTCGTTAAAACGAACTCATCGTTTACTCAGAACACATCTTTGTTATTACATGAAAACAGTAAGAAGCTTGTATAACATGGGCAGCAAGCATTCAAAATGAATACATGAAGGAAATGGTTTTCTCTGGCTATATCAGCCTCAATCTTTAACGCTCTTAGTAAAAAAGTCCACTAAACAAAATGGAATCCTGGGGGCCACATTATATGAATCATTCATTAAATAACACTTCTGAAACAACCCAGAATCATGTAAGTATAAGGGTTAAAGAAGGTCACATGTACCAAGCACAGGACACAGGAATAGACTGGATTTGATAATTTTACCCTAAATGAAAGGCGCTTGTGGGCAACAGCTCTGCCATCGGTACACATGGGCAGATGTTTCCATATCCGGCCATTCCCAGATTTTACGGACAAGTCTTTTCCCACAGGTTCTCTGCCAATGACGTTTCCCCAGCAACAGAAGTTTGACATCACTGCTCCCAGAAGGGAGAATGAGCTCTCCTCGTTTGGGTCAGAAACAGGCCATGAGGTTTGGTCCAACCAACAGAACCAACCTCCCTGGATCCTGGAGGACCCAATGCCACTGGAACCAAAGGCTCCGTGCCTGGAAGGCAGGAGGCAGGTCCAGGGGGAGGAAGAGAGGCTGCTACCTGTCTGGAATGAAAGCGTGAGGTCTTTTTCTGTAAAGCCCAGAAGACACAGCTGTGCCGAGCTGCACTGCCTGAAGCCTGCAGAACGTCTGCATGCTGCGTGAACCAACTCAAAGCCTTTCTCCTCCTGCACATGAACAATGGATGCACCCAGCATCCCCTCCACTACTGCCTCTACCCTCCTGACAGCTCGCCGGGGGAGCCAGCCGACGTTACCACCGTTCTCCAGAGAACACCCGGCCGACGGGCTGCGACTCAACCACTGCAGGGCCAGACCAAGTGGGAGAGCCACGCCAACCTCCAGGCCTCGGGCCAGCTGACAGGGCGCTCCTTCCCACCTCATCTCTCCAGGGCACATCTACTCTCTCTTCTTCCACCATTATTAATGCTCACAGTGCACAGATAGGGTTTCCCTGTGCCTGGGCAGGGTTCTGTGTAGAATCACTTGGAATGTGAGCGACGTCGGGGCAGGGGTCTGTGCACTCATCTGGTCACCGTAAACCCTCCCTCCTTCCCCTCCGGTCCTCACCTGCACTGCACTGTTTTCTGAGGGCCACCTGTCCTTCATGTTATGAGCAGCCAACTCCTTCAAGGAACAACAGACGGCAGCCCTGGATGAAGGTGTGGCGTGCAGCCCCCATGTGCCAAGGGCAGCTGCTGTCTTCCAGCAGCCAGCCAGCCCCCAGCTCCGCTTCTCGTCTAGCCCTGCTTCCTGCGCCCCAAACAGCCAGCCTTGCTGTGTGCCTGGGGGTGCACAGGGAAGAGGGCTGGGCTTTGGGGCCATCCGTGCCCTCCCTGAAGCTCCTGGACCCGCCCTATCCATTACGATGAAAGGTGGCTTCCCCGTCCCTCCAGAGATTCCAGTTTCAGCCTCGGTCCCCAGGACTGGAATGTAGGGGGCAGAAGTGGAAAGAGGCAGGGGAGACCTGAACAGGGGCACCTAGGAGAAGAACAGGGAGCTCAAGGGGGGGGGGGGGTGGTAGAAATGATGCTAAACGTTCTAATTTCAGCTCTCCTTCCAATACCCTTTTTCCCACCCCTTGAAGAGCTTTAAAACATTGGGCCTTGATTCACAGATAAAAGGGGTGCGAGCTGGAGAAGCAAAACCAGGAGCCTATGGTCACCTTCCTCCTGCTGAGGGCAGTGAGGCCTCTAGTACCGAGAGGAAATCCCACCCAAATATACCCCTGACTGTCCCCGCCCAGGACAGGAAACCCAGGCATGGTCCTCAGTCAGGCTAGCCTA